TATATATATGAAAACCCAAAATGCCTGTCCCAAAAAATTAGCATAGACCTAAATTAAGAAATATATTATAATAAAAGTTTTGGCCAAATCATCCAGCCCTACCTGCACCACAATAAACAATTTAATGTTTCTGTCTGCGCCTGACCTGTTTAGAACTTAATTGTTGGTAGTTTTATATTCTCTGTTATTTTATATATTCTCTGTTATTTTTATATCTTGTGTGATTCTCGTGTATGTTCCTTTGTACTGAAACTGGCACAACAATTTCCTGCAGGATCAATAAAGTTCTTTCTATCTTATTTAAAGTTCTGGTAAGGCCTTTTCCTTTATGTGTTTTTGTACAGTTAGCAAAATATCTCAAAAACTACTGTTCAGATGTTATTGAAACTTTCAGGAAATAATCATTGGATGTGCTTCTACAACTGATTAACTTCTGAAGTCAACCCAATTCAAGATGGCCATCACATCTAAGTGACCTTAGAAAACACAAAATGTCTAGAATTCATTCAATTTTGCAGATACTGTGTTAAAAATTAGTGTAGAAGTAGCTGGAAGTCGTTCACAGTACATATCTCGGACACTACTCCTTGTGCAAGAATTGACATTAACTGTTGAGAGTCAACACTGTTTTTTTGTTGTTGTTTGTTTTTGCTACCAAAACCTTTCATGAACCACAGTATGGATTTTAATGAAACTTTCAGGAAATTTGGATGTAACTACATCTATATCTATTAAACTTTTGAAGTCAATCCAATCCAAAAATCATCCACGACTAAAAACATTACCCAACATTTAAAAAAATGGCTACAACTCAGTTAAAAATAGAGATAAAATTTGATGTGGTAGTAGCTGAGAGTTAAGTCACAACACATTTTGACATCTCGCAGTATCACATCAAGTCATGCATACGTTCTAGAATTGCGCCGTTCAAGGTGGCTGCATATTGGAGCAGCTCTGTTACTTTCATTCTGAGATTTTGCTTTTGGAAATTTAAATTCCTGTTTTTCTGGATCTAAAATCACATTTTTTTGGACGATTGTTTCCTCTGGTATCGGATGCTGTGCAGTTGGAAGGATTTTTATAGAAACTTTTTTAGTTTTGGACATTTGCTATGATACGTAACCATGGCAACAAGGCAGTTTTCTACTACCAACAGCTGATTAACATCTCAAAAGCTCAAATAACATCTCAACTACAGCCCCAAATCTCAAAAATTAGTTGAAAGGATGTTCTGTGGATGCATTCTCATCTACCTGCCAGCTGTGCTCGAGTGCCTGACCACTGAGATCCTGGAACTAGCAGGAAACACGGCTCATGACAGTGGAAGGACAGGATCGTCCCTCGGCACCTACAGTTGTCTGTCCGCAGTGACAAGGAGCTTGGCAGACTGCTGGGAGGAGTGGCCATCGCACTGGGAGGAGTTCTGCCTGGCATTCAGGTGGTCCTACAGCCCGGGGGAACCGAGAGGCCAGCTGAGTCTGGGTGGACGGATCGGACGGCATCTGCAGCCAGTTTCTTAGGATCCACTGTGGGATGGACCTTTACAAGAGATCCTTCCTGTCTACAGCCATCAGCATCTATAACATCTCTTAATGAAATGAGGATAACGAGTTACAGCAACAAATAATTTCCCTCTGGGATTAATAAAGTATAATTGAATTGAATTAACGTTATTTTCAAGGTTTGACAAAAGCGGCTACAACTCTTGTAATTTCTCAGCACAAGACTATTTTAGTCTTAAATGGTGGCATGAAAGATGGTGGGTGATAGTCCTTCCAGGAATTTAAAGACAATAGCAGATAAAATGCTTTTTATTATTAACCTTTATTTATTTTAGCCTTTATTTGGATTGTGTTCTAGAATTGTGCCGCTCGGGGTGGCTGCATGTTGGCGTAGCTCTGTTTCATTCATTCTGAGATATTTCTTATGAACTTTAATTCCTCTTTTTCTGGATGTAAATCACATTTTTTTGGATGATTGTTTCCTCTGGTATCGGATGCTGTGCAGCTGGAAGGATTTTTACCAAAACTTTTTTTAGTTTTGGACATTTGTCATGATGCGTAACCATGGCAACAAGGCGTTTTTTCTTTTTTACAACTGAGAGCTGCTGATTAATATCTCAGAAGCTCAAATAATATCTCAGCTGGAGTTCAGGCAGTTTTCACACTTGATGGGAACAGTGGGGCCTCATCTGTGAATTAGAGTAACAAAGACCTTAAACCCCTGTTAAGGTGTGAATTGTCAAATCTACATATGTATGTGTATCTTATCTCAGCCTTATAACCTGAACTCCTCACTCTCTGCTCTTTGAATTGAGAAAGCTCCTCGGATGAGGAGCGAAACGTCTTCTGTTACAAATAGTCCAGTTGTTTTTGTATTTAATGTTTTTTTAATTTATCATGTCCTGGATGACTGAGAATCTTCACCAGCATATTTCAGCTAGAGCCACAAATTGCAAATGAATTGAAAAGAAGGTGCAGTGGATGCATTTCCATCTCCCTGCTGGCTGTGCTTGAGTGCCTGATCACCGAGATCCTGGAACTGGCAGGAAACATGGCTCGTGACAGCAGAAGGACTGTCTGTCCGCAGAGACAATGCAATATTTTCAGATTTTAAAAGGTCAAAATTAATTATTTAATTTGCCTTTATTCCAAAAAAAAAAAAAAAAAGATCAGAAATAATTCAATGCACAATGGTGTAGTAGTTGGAGAAGAGCTCTTCTCCTGCTGCAACTTCTTTGAGGGAGACGAGGACCACACAGCGAAGAGGCCTCTTGATGTCCTGGCTGAAGTTGACGTTTGGTAGATACTGGCGGAGCTCGATGGGGAAGCCGTCCGGGATGTTGTACTCCTGGTAGCAAACATTAGCAGGCTTTTCATTGGAGCAGTTGTTGACATACTGACCCACAGCCAGTGGGTTTTGAGGGCTGTCCGTCAGCCATGTGGTGTCACTCGTCACAAAGGGACCTATTCTGTCTCTGCCGCTGCATGACCTGAAGATCATTTTGGAGATGCCTTTATCATTTCCATCAACCAGGATGCCATCGATGCAGCGGAATATGAAAGGGTTTTTGATGGACTGAAGGAGAATGGGCTCATACGGTTGATAAATGGTGCCAGGATACATGGCAACTGCAGCCCCTTTAGGCACAAATCCCCTGGTGACAAACACCCCAGTTCCAGCAGAGGGTAAAGTGCTGGGCTTCCTGTCAATACAAAACCCCAGAGACTGGAAAATAACATCTTGTCCACCAGCCTGTTCTTCTTCACCTAAAAACTGTGGGACTTGGGGCACATGAGCTGGATGGAGCTCCACATGATGAAGACCCTTCCTGTGGAGGGCTCTGAAAAGCTTCAGAAGGCTCCGGGAGACTTGTTCATCCGAGACAAGTTTGTCTTTGGACCGCTCCGTCACCTGGCGCAGAGTCTGCTCATTTTTAGACAAGTTAAACACGATCCACGGCACAAAGCGGTGTCTGTAAGACCTCCATAACTTCTGAAATCTTTCAAAAGCTGCTGAAAACATCCAGACCCAGAAAACTCGACCAACGTTGTTTTCTTACGTCACTTCCGGAAGGTGGCTTAAAAATAAAAACAAAGCGTTTGTAACCTCTATTTTAAACGATTTAGCGTGTCAATTTAAACGAATACAATTATTTATAAGTCAATTTTAAACATTTATAAACTTACTAAATAAATAAAACAAAACGTACACTTGTTATTTTTGACAGATTTTTGTTGTACGCTTTTATTTTGGAGAACCGGCTTCAAGCAGAAATTTGCATTTTTTTAATTTAAAAACTTTATTAGTTTTATCATAATGTACAACATAAACAAGTGGTAAGATTTTGTCCAGACAGGGAACTTGACCTGAATTTTATAAACTCAAGATAAAAAAAGAATTTACAGATAATCCACATAATTTAATGTTTGTAAAAAAAAATTAAGCTTGAAAGTTAAAAAAAAAAATAATAATAATCCACTAATGTGAAACAGACAGGGATTTTGATCTGAATTTTATAAACTAAATATAAAAAAGAAATTACAGATATTCCACATAATTTAATGTTCGTAAAAATCCAAGTTTGTAAGTTAAAAAATTAGAAATGATACAGAAATAGCTGAAAACAGAACAAGAGATATTAAAGCTTTTAATGTGTGAAACCTTATACATCTGGATGAGAGTATAATGAGTCACACATGGTAATTACTTGCACCAACAACCACGCCACATTTAAAATCACGTAAATTCCCTTTCTTCTTTGTTATGATGCTCTGTTTGAACTTAGCAAGTTTTCCCCACAAACATGAGTTTCTCTTTCTGTTAAAAAACATCTGAACACCTAATAAGTTAGGGAGGTTTGAGGGATACAACGTTTGAGGGAGTGGTGGTGCAGAGGTCGTGACCCTGCTGATTCAGCTCCTCAGACCAGCATACAATTTGGGTGGGAAAGTTGAAGCATCTGCTTCCACCCTTATTTGTCATTTTGTGGGCCATTGAGTAAGACCCTTAACCACAAAGGAGCATTCTTAATTTGATGGCAGCCCTCTGCTTCAGGTGGGGTCACCGAGCAGGTCCCTGGTTCAAATCCCAGTCCGGGGGCCCATTCTGGGTGGAGTTTGCATGTTCTCTCCGTGCATTTGTGGGTTTTCTCCGGGTGCTCCGGTTTCCTCCCACAGACCAAAAACATGCATGCTAGACTGATTGGTAACTCTAAATTGTCCCTAGGTGTGAGTGAATGATTGTTTGCCTCGTTTGTCTCTATGTGTCCCTGTGATGGACTGGAGACCTGTCCAGGGTGTCCCCAGCCCCCCACACAGTGATTGCTGGGCATGGGCACCGGTGACCCCCGTGACCCAAAATGGAAGAAGCGGGTAAAGATAATGGATGGAACTTACATTTCAAACAATGCCAGTTTTTGTCATCTGAAACTGCGACAGACTTTGTCTCTCGAACCTCACGCGGTTAGTTGCCCACAACGTTGCCAGATATACAGCTTTTACCGTATTTATGCTATCGATTTAGCAAACACTCTCCCACCATACGTCCAACAGTAACAACCCTCACCCCCCACCCAGGTCAACAACAGCATCATTGAAAAAAGTGCCCCTTCACTCCGCTCATACGATAGTTTTGGTCAAAACAGTTTTATAAAAGGCAATGCGTTAGTTCGTCATTTCCTATCTGGCAACCTCGGTTGCCTGTAGCAACGAACACCAAACAGTCACCGCAGCCTGTCAGGAGGACCATTCAACCGGAATTACTACTGTTAGAGCGAGAAAAAGGCTATCTTTTTGTACTCCTGTTTGTTATTTTACAGATCTTTGATTAAAAAAACCGGGAAAATGTCGGGAAATGTGCCGGCAGTGTTGTCGGATATAGGCTGGGACACACGCTACAGTGTTCCCGAGCTCCACGCTGACAACAAGGACCTACTGGAGGAGGTAAGTTAGCTAGGTGGCTGGTTAGTTAGCTAGCATCACTCTGTGAGCTCGGCTGACAATAAACTGCTTTAGAGTGATTCTTTTTTTTTTTTCCTTCAGTTTTTAATTACTTAATCAAAAATAAAACCGCCTTTTCATGGCCTAGACTTTTTATTATTATTATTTTTACTGTAAACTTTTTTTTTACAGTGCAGAGGTCCTTACATAAAAATCTGTTTATATCCATTTTCCCAGTAAATAAAATTCAGCCAGAACCATAACACCTACTTTGAGATTGAATTAAAGATAAACAATTGGAAGAACGCAACTCAGTAAATATTGTTATTAAGTTTGATATAATACATGAAAAAACAAGTTTGTTACATTGTGTAAATTAGTGATCAGCTTCAGTGATGGAGACCTCTGGTGGACAACAGAGTCAGAGTCAGAGTCAGAGTTTCTTTATTGTCATTCGCACCTCATGTGGTACATGTGGTGGAGCGAAATTATGTACACGGGGTCCCAGTTACATCCAACAATAAAATGTCTAAGAAAAACAGTAATAACATCTAAGATATGAACTAAGAAAAACATCAACTAAATATACACTAAGCACTCATAACATAAAACATTGAACATCAGCACAAACATGAACATGAGTCTGTGAGCAGATGTGCACGCATGAACACATCAACATTGAAACAGATCAGCAGCAACATGAAACAGATCAGCAGCAACATGATATGTTTTTTCACAGTGATTATTCTAGTTAGAGATTCATGAGTCTAACAGCCTCAGGGTAGAAGCTGTTCCTCAGTCTAGTGGAGCTAGAACAACCTCAGGAGTGTAGAAAAGACTGGCCAAGCTTATTTGTTCATTTGTACAAAATAATAATTACATCTGCATTACACATTACAAAAACATATTTTTTGTACAACAAAGTTCTTTGTTTCAAATTGTATCCGTTTTTGAAAAACAAAAACGGACTCTCACAACTCAGCTGGAATATTGATGCATCTTAAATAGCTTGTTTAGCTAAGAAATCCAAAGCATTCACACCTGCAAAACTGAGTCGTTCAGAACACATTGGAACTTTCTGATCCAAAGAAGAGAGAAATGAAGCAGTTTCAACAATTTCCTGCGGGATCAATAAAGTTTTATCTTATAACGTCTGAAGATTCGACCGTCATTTGTTACGTGACGGGGTGTTTTGATACAAGCTCTGACACAGTTTTATGAATCACTCTCTTTCAGGAAGAGTGACATAAGCTCCAAAGCCTCTGTATCATTTGCCCATCACTACTGTAAACAAAAATCTAAAATAGATTGTTGACATTGATCAGTATTATAAGACTGGTCCTCCATGCAGGCTGCTGCTGCTGCTTATAAGCAGCACTTGAGAACTTGTCCATTGTTAAACAGGGGCGGAGGCTTCCGTGTCCAATTGTCCCCCTCTTACAGTGCTGTTATTGCTAGTATCACTCAGCCCTCTGTGAATAGCAAGCAGCTATCAGGATACTAACAACTGGTCCTTAGGCTTATGGTTCTAATTTTGCATGTGAACAACTACAAACCGGATTCCAAAAAAGTTGGGACACTAAACAAATTGTGAATAAAAACTGAATGCAATGATGTGGAGATGGCAAATGTCAATATTTTATTCGTAATATAACATAGATGACAGATCAAAAGTTTAATCTGAGTAAATGTAACATTTTAAAGGAAAAATATGTCGATTCAAAATTTCACAGTGTCAACAAATCCCCAAAACATTGGGACAAGTAGCAATAAGTGGCTGGAAAAAGGAAATTGAGCATATAACGAACAGCTGGAAGACAAATGAACACTAATTAGGTCAACTGACAACATGACTGGGTATAAAAAGAGCTTCTCAGAGTGTCAGTGTCTCTCAGAAGCCAAGATTGTAAGAGGATCACCAATTCCACCATTGTTGCGCAGAAAGATAGTGCAACAATACCAGAATGGTGTTACCCAGTATAAAATAGCAAAGACTTTTAAGTTATCATCATCAGCCGTGCATAACATCATCAAAAGATTCAGAGAATCTGGAACAATCGCTGTGCGTAAGGGTCAAGGCCGTAAAACTCTACTGGATGCTCGTGATCTCCGTGCCCTTAAACGTTACTGCACCTCAAACAGGAATGCCACTGTCAAGGAAATAACAGAATGGGCTCAGGAATACTTCCAGAAAGCATTGTCAGTGAACACAATCCACCGTGCCATCCGCCGTTGCCAGCTGAAACTCTACAGTGCAAAGAGGAAGCCATTTCTAAGCAAGCTCCACAAGCTCAGACGTTTGCACTGGGCCAGGGGTCATTTAAAATGGAGTGTGGCAAAATGGAAGACTGTTCTGTGGTCAGATGAGTCACGATTTGAAGTTCTTTATGGAACACTGGGACGCCATGTCATCCGGACCAGAGAGGACAAGGATAGCCCAAGTTGTTATCAACGCTCCGTTCAGAAGCCTGCATCACTGATGGTATGGGGTTGCATGAGCGCTTGTGGCATGGGCAGCTTGCATGTCTGGAAAGGCACCATTAATGCAGAGAACTATGTTCAGGTTCTAGAACAACATATGCTCCCATCTAGACGTCATCTCTTTCAGGGAAGACCCTGCATTTTTCAACACGATGCCAGACCACATTCTGCAGCAATCACAACATCATGGCTACGTAGGTGAAGGATCCGGGTACTGAAATGGCCAGCCTGCAGTCCAGATCTTTCACCTATAGAGAACATTTGGCGCATCATAAAGGGGTGATTCTTTTTTTTGCGGCAACATTTTGGCTTCAGGACTTTTGAAAAAAAAAAAATAATAATAATAATGTTTTAAGTTTTTAATATTTTGTTACAACACTGACATGTTTAGCAATAAGAAATTAATAATGGTCAAGCTCAGGGTTGGATAAAATAATAATTACAGGTAGATTTTTTTCACCATCGTCTCTGATTGTGTTCCACCCTGTTAGGGACATTTACATATAGACCATTAATAGTTAAACATGTAAATATTGATAAATAATGCCATTTTCTTTAAAAAAGTATGTCCCTTTTACTATATAATATGTTTTATTCTTGAAAATGTAACAGATCATGTAGTTACAAATGATTTATGTCAGTATTGTA